GCACAAGAGAAAACCATATAATGGACTGGGACAACACACGGATCATAAACACCGAACAACAGAAATACAAAAGATGGATTAAAGAGGCTATCGAGATAAGGAGACGTGGATGTGGGACCATGAACAGAGACAATGGAGTTTACTCGCTGGACCGTGCATGGGACTGCATCGTCGGAGAGGGGAGACGGAGAAGGAAGTGACACCGCCATCAGCGTCAGCCTGAGGAAGTTTGCAGCCGCAAACGAAACGTAGCGGGAAAACAGGTGAACAAAACTGCTCTGTGTTTTAAAAAAGAACTACAGCATGGAAGATTCAGTTTTGTGTAATAAAAATATTTCATTCATTATGTCATAACTACAAGAACTTCAGTGTAAACAAAATGTTATGTTATATTTGTGCCCTAGAGTCATTCGTCAGTTGTAATGGAAAACCACTCAAACTGCCAAGTTGAGCTGCGCTAAGTAGTGGATGAGGGCTACGAGTTACATTTAAACACGTTGAATAGCTGAAGTTCAACATTTACGTTTATACCATGATGATGCAAGGATTGGTATCTTGGGAAATGTGGTCCTGCTGCTTTAGGAACTTTTTGACACCATTTCAATGTTGCATTATTTGTGGGTTAACTGAACTGGATCCCTTTGCTCCAGTTTCCAGCTGACCTTTCAGATACAATAAAATTGTTGTTTTGTCTAGTTCCACAATCGCTTAGGTGCAAACAAACGTGGACTCACTATGCTTGTGGCATGCAGTCTCTTCTTACACATCGTTTCCTGGTTTTCTTACACTAGGAAGATGTCTAAACACCTAAAGGGGTCACGACCCAGACTACATTAGATTATGTCAGCTAACATTCTGGTTTTGGAGACATCCCAAAGAGTCCGGGCCTCTTTTTTGCGTTCTTGTACCCTATAACTATTTCTCTACTTTTATAGATATAACTGAAGTAAAAATTGAATCACTTCCTCATTGTTTGTATGGAAGTATATCTGTGTTAAAGGGAATGGCCGTAGTTGAAGTGCTCTCCGATTGACTCCGATCACGGACCCAAAACCCCAAATCGCACTAAAGCCATTAGATAACTGAATTTGACTGACTGGCCTCTCGGGAGAAATGAGGCATTGTTTTGATGAGCTGTATGGGCAGCAGCATGTCTGTAAAATATTATTTATGGTCTGATTTATTTTGTTATCAGCGTCGGCTTGGCGCGTCCTTCAGCACGCTGTAAACGTTGATTTGATTTGGCCTGAAATCGACAGTGAGCTGTACTGTAGTGGTGTAAAAAAATCAATGCCGACGTTGTCAGCACACGGCTGCAAACGGAGGACTTGGCTTACCAGCGTGTGACCATCGCAGTTTATTAATCACTAAACCTCAGTTATCATTGTGTTTCACTATTGAGACCTCAACACAGTCACCACAAAAAAAGAAAGGAAGAAAAAGGCAAACGGGGAATTTAAATTTCACACTTTAAACGTTGCAGCAAACTGAGTTCAAAGCCATTACTTAGTGCCGTGAAATCCCATGTCAGCCAGGCCTGGTCAAAGGCTTTCTGCTAATTAAAGGAGACGACATCCTGTTAAAGTGTCCTTTTTTATTTGGCTTTTCAGTGAAAACGTCTTTCAAAAACACTTAATTTATATAGAAATAATGCCATGCCTCCGGTTCCCCTTCATTTAAAAGCACCTTTAGACCTTTGTGTCGCTGCTAATAGCTAACTAAATACTGCAGCTGATTCAGACAGCTGGGATTTTATGGAGGGGGTGGATTTTTAACCCTGCTAACCCTTTCGGTTAAACGAGAAAACTTCCTTTTGATAATGGCCTCAAACTTCCCACAGCCCTGTAAAAAAAAGCACATAAAAAACAACACAGCAACATAGACAGGGGTGCTGTCAGTCATCTAGTCCATTAAGTGCATAACTGTTTACAGAGTTCAGCCCTGAACTGCACATACATAATTTAAACCGGATCCTCTGAGAGTTATTCACCGAGTTTGAGAGTGAGCCACTGCTCAGCACAGCGTACGATATTCGTTGGAGCTCTTGGAGCTAGAACAGCGCACACAGCTGACAAATCACTTGGGCTGAATGTTTTCTCAATTAGAGTCTTACATTTCTGAATGCATCCGGCGGAAAGCAAAATGAAGCAGCAGCTAGCACAAACAGTCCCTCCCTGGTTAAACCCTAAACAACGATCGGAGCACTCTGAATTCGAGCTGTCAGATAATGGAGCCGCCGAGAACTTGCTCCACTAATAGCTCCTCTCCGCAATCAAACCCATGAACACAGAGTGGCTTTACACCGAGCACTTGCCATTTTTGTTTTCTCCTTCAGAGAGCACCTTTTTTGAAGCCCCCTTTTTGGCTGATAGGCATGCTCGGCAGAATGTGTGGTGGAAAGCTTTTGAAAGCTTTGAATATGGATACATTATTAATGCATTTGACTTAGGAGAACAATAGAGTTGAATGAAAGAGAAACACTAACAGTGCAAACGTAAAAAGCTGCGGTGAAGGCGGGGGGAAGACGCAGGAACTAAAAGAGAAACCTCCAGGGGAAGGAAGAAAAGGTAGCGCCTTGAGAAGAAGTCAGTTCACACCGTTCAAACCACCGACTCCAGACTTTTTATTCTCTTGTGCCGCAACACAAAGGGAAGATTGAAGAAATTTAAACTGAGATAAAAACCTCTAAATATGCCTTTTGGATTTTGCTCCAAAATGGAACAAATGTGACTTTTATTCATGTGAGTACCGGAAAAGTTGTGAACGTTTTAATGTTATATTTATATTTATGCCTTAAAATCACAATTATAATGACTTTATAAATGGAAATTAACCTTAAACCATTTAACTTATGGTAACACAAGTGCCCACTCTTTGTCACAAATCAGGACATTTCTGCAGACATGTCTACAGTCAGGATCCATCGGGAGCACGAGGACGAACTCTGGTAGCCTGGCCGCGAAACTGGCCCACTCGAGTGTCATGGTTCTGCTTCATGACCAAGTCTGGTGTAAGCTTTAGACTCCAGAGACTTTGATCTACAGAGGAGTTCATGGTGGAGAAAGTGACAGTGACAGATAGGAGCCCCCACCATCAACCCTCCACCACCGTGCTGCCATCAGCTGTTTGATGGGTGCTAGCTAGACGTAGCATCTACACCCATCTCCGCCCAAAACTGTTTGGTACTGCGTGTCTCTGTCCTACTATCATGTTTAGGGTGTTTGACATTCTACATTTGGGTTCACCCAAACAGGGCTGTGCATCATGGTCAAACATCTCTTCTTCTATCTCGTGTGTCCTGACTGTTCCATAGGTCATGTTGCTTTTTCACAAGAAACCCTAAATCACGCTTGACACATTTAGACCGAAGAAGGTTAGAGCTTAACCTTTCACCTAGGGGTGGGCAATATAAACGATATAAGGTAGAAACAATATAAAATTGGGTAATGATAGAGTTTTTGGCTATATCGCAATACCGCAATATCACGATAACACATGACGCCACTAAGATGTGCACCCTGCTGACATCGGGGCAACAGAATGGCAGTGACTGCAAGCATGGAGTGGGCGGGGGAGGAGGCCTATTTGCCTCAAGTGGCATATATTTGCCACATGAGGATATTTAAAAGCATGTCATGTTGACATATATAAACAGAGGAAAAAATATATCGCAATATACATCGTTACCGCACATGCTTCAGATTTTATCGCAATTTAGATGTGTGGCCATATCACCCAGCCCTACTTTCACCCCTGCCCGAGGTCCCCGAGGCCACACCCTAAAATAAAAACAAAGTGAATTTTCGTTTTCCTATGGTGTGTTTTGCCCTATGTGAAGCTTTCTGCCAGCCATTTGAGCCTAAATGTGCAGTGTGTATTTGTTTCATGTTGTAATTCAAATCTTTGTATTTAGTCATTTAGTCATTACGGGCTGTTATCTCTTAGCTCAGACATCAAAGCAGCTGTTTTTCACTTCTCAGGCAGCTTCAGATGTCATAGCTTAATCCGTTTATAGACAATTAAATTAAAATAAAGTTCTGTTTCTGTAGTTTATCCCAGCCTTTATTCTCTCGGCACTGCCGCAGACCCTGCTGAGTCACTGCCAGTCAGAAACAGCGGATTGAGCTTTCTAGAAGGTAATATCCTCCAGGTTGTGTGTTTACATCTACCCAGACGTAAGTGCACTTGGTCCTATAGACATGCAGTTAGGTTGTCATATTTATACAGCCTGAAACTTAAGCATGGTGGACCATGCCCTTCTACGCTTTGAAATCCGATAAACCATCCTTCTTGTACACAAACCTACAGGTTCACACACACACACACACACACACACAATCGGTTCAATAAAAGCACAGCCCATACACACGTATGCGCGTGCACACACACACACACACACACACACACACACACACACACACACAAATCCTTATAGCATCCATAATCTTCTGTCAAACATGGTGTGTGCAGCTCGTACCATCATCAAGCTTGAGGCCAAGGATGATGATGGTGGTGGTGAAGCCATTTTCAGCCTTGTGCTTTTTTTTTCGGCTCAGAAAGTGAGCACAGACTTTTAGTAATCCTCTAAAAAAATCAAATCCTTGACATTTTGGCTGATTTCCAGTGTACAAATTTAATATCGCCTGGTGGAGTTTGAAATGAGGATTTGATGGATCTAAGGAGTAGATCTGTGTGTGTGTGTGTGTGTGTGTGTGTGTGTGTGTGTGTGTGTGTGTGTGTGTGTGTGTGTGTGTGTGTGTGTGTATGGGTAGACTTGTGAGTGCATTTTTGTCAGTAAGTCAGGTCAATTCAATTTGCAGCGAACAGACCCAGTTAAGGTGCTGTGAGGCATTTTGCTACATGTCCTGTTCTGTATCTGGGTAATATAGTGTGTGCTTGAGTGTGTGTGTGTGTGTGTGTGTGTGTGTGTGTGTGTGTGTGTGTGTGTGTGTGTGTGTGTGTGTGTAGAGAGAGAGAAGCTGTTAATGAGATGTTCTCACCTGTGTCTGGTGTCCCGGTTCCTGATAATAAGCCATTAAGGGGTGTTTGAAAAGAAGAAAAAAGAAGATAACAACAATTATTTATAATGCTAACAAGACTTTGGACAAAAAAATTGTCTAAAAATGAGTGAATTTTCTTCCCATTAAATGGGATTAGGTTTGATTTAGATGGCTGTATTGTTTCACATTAAATATTAACCTAAACAGGAAGCTTTTGGCATCTCATCTCATCTCAGAGGACGGGCAAGTATCAAATAGAGACTGCAAAACCAGATATATTAGTCAGACGTACAATAATGACAGCAAATGAGAGTAAAGTTACACGAGGAGAACACTCCACAGGACAAATGACTGTGCAATCCCATCGAGATTCCACGCTTGAGAAAATACAGAAATAGAGAATGTAGTGCCTGCAGCACAGTAGGCGATATGATCATAATCCACGGAGAAAAAGTGTCTTTGTTTCACAGAAAAGCTCCTCTCACATCCTAAAGAGGTAGATTAGGGCCTGTGATGTCTGAACCTCACACGCTCTGCCTTTGCATAAAGACAAACTTCAGAGCGCTCCACTGAGATCAAACAGATCACCGCTGCAGATGACGCCAAGCACAGCTAATGCAAGGCTAACCCACATCATCCAAGCTAATTATATTAGAAACATGAAATCAATTCATTATCTACTTAAAAGAAGCAATTTTCCCCCCAACCGAACCAGTTCAGGACTCACTTGAGCTCCAGGATGGTCCTGGTGTATCCATCGGGGTGGGACCTGCGGACGAAGTTAAAATCTCCAACGTAGAGAGATCCATCGGGGCCGCTGGCCAGTGCTACAGGGGCAAACAGCATCATGTCTCTGGCTGCGCCGCTGCAGCTTGGACCGCAGGGGACACTGCGGTAGAAACCATTCCCCATAACAGTGCTGATGACAGCAGGCTGCTGGGACAGGAAGATGTTTTCTCCATTTCCTTTGTGAAGGATTCCTGGGAAAAGAGGAAAGCAATAAATCTTTAAAAGCGCCGGGAGCATGTTGCCGGAGTCGGTGCATACCCATGAGGTAATGCAATCCTTCTTTTGCACCAAAGTTAGACAATACAGGTTCTGTCAGGTGCCAGGTTTTGTCTGACACTCTCGTACTGGGCTTATGAGATGGGAGGAAAGTTTAAAAGTGATGTCACTCCTTTTGTCTTTGACAATCACACACATAAGGGCCGGTCAAGGGAATGACTTGAGGAGGAGGCCATTTTTTTGTTGTTGTTGCAAAGCTGAGAATTGAGAGCAAATGTTACGAAAAGAAATCTAAATTGTATCTCAAGGATAAAGTTGAGCCTTGTTCTAGTTTTACTGGCACACTTTGTAAATTGTGAAATAACAACATGAAGCATTTTTGTTGAATCGATATCACATGTGGCGTTACCTCAGAGACCAGGGCTGGAGGCACAGCTGCTTCTTTACAACAAAATGTTACATCAAATAAAATGTCTGTTTCAGCGAAGCTCTGATCTAAGTTTCTGTGGAGGATCACAGCGCAGGGAAACCATTTCCCACCAGGCTCAACTTCCTGCAAACGGATGCTAAATACTCCTCCTGTTGCATTAAACTTTACTGATTTGGTGACAGACAACATTCAAGTGACTCAATAACACCAATAAAATTAACCCAGTTTTGAATAACTTTTTAAATTGGACTGGATAAAAAGTTATTTATCAAATAGACAACAATATGTGCAAATAAATCAACATAAATCAGGACTAAGAGAGATACAATGTGGGGTACCTCAAGGATCAGTCTTAGGACCTAAACTATTCATAATGTACATAAATGACATTTGTAGCGTGTCACAAGTATTGAAGTTTGTATTGTTTGCAGATGACATAAATGTTTTTTGCTTAGGTGTGGAATTGCAACAGGTCCTGGATGTGGTCACACAGGAAATAAATAAATTAAATAAATGCTTTGATGTAAATAAACTGTCACTAAATTTAGAGATAACAAAATGTATGTTGTTTGGTAATGAAAGCAGATACAATGAATTAGATATAGTAATTAATAATGTAAAAATGGAAAGAGTATATGAAATAAAAATTCTCGGGGTGGTCATAGACAGCAGAATCTGTTGGAAGCCACACATCAAATATGTTAGGGGGAAGCTTGCACGGGGCATTGCTATATTGGGGTAAAGGGGTAGGGACATATATGTGTCGACTTCAGCCTACTCCTTTTCAGACAGAGAAGAAGGAAAAAAGGGATGATGACACGTATTTTTTCTGTTTGTGCTTTTTTAAAATTATGTATGTTTTCTTTGTTTGAAATAAACTAAACTAAAAAAAATACCAGTGTTTGTTACTGATATTTGACTGTTAATAAGAGGATCCTTTAGTGTATAAATGGTGTTTTAAATGGTTGTAAATGGTTGTGGAGGTAGATCTACTCAGTGTTCTGACCTGCTAACTGAAGATAAACTACAACAGGATGAGAACATGCGCTGATCTTGTTCCACAGACAACTTGACGTATTCATGACGTCAAGACCAATTCTACTCATTTTTCTACATATTTGCACTGGTCTCTAGTATAAATAAATGTCTTGTGAGTTGATCTCTGTGCGAAAAAAAACTCTGGTGCTCCTGTTCTAGGAACTAGAAGTGAGCCAGAGCAGAGGTGAGCAAAAAATGACAGGACTTACTTTCTGACATTCGAACATCACGCCTCAGACTGGCTAACAGCAAGGTGACTCTACCACTGACTCAGTTTGCTTTTCAACGTTTATGATTTATCTCTATAAATACCTCAAGCCTGAAGGAGTTCTGCTGTGTGGTGGGGTTGCTAATGCTAACAGTTAGCTTCTACTAGCTGCGACATGCTCTGCTCTCTCCTGGACTCTAAATCTCTTCGCGAGCCACGATGGGTGAGTCTATGTGACGTAGATCTGACTGACAGTGGGAGACGTTCGTGTTAAACGACCATATTTCATAGACAACAAGTATAAAATGGTTTCTCAGTGAACTCGCTCTTTATACTGAAACACTATTAAAGTGAAAATAAATCGGATATGCACTCCATGGTTTGGAGTCAAACTCCTGATAAAAGTGGTTCTTTGCTCCAGCTAAGGCTCAGTTCAAAAGGATGAGAAATTACGTTAATCTTTGACCCGATACTCCATTCCTGACGATCTTAAGGGTACACCTGATCATCGTAATGGCTCTAAAGATAATCTTAACAGATAGTTCTGTCATGTGTGGTGTGTTACCCCCAAATTCCACTACCTCCGCTCCGCTCCGCTGCGGTCCGCCCCCGCCTTCCGCAGCCGCTCGCTTCCGAACTCAATTTTTACTGGTACGCGCTCTACAACGGCTCCGCTCCGGTGCGGAGACCTGAGGTGGGCAAACAAGCATGCGCGGGATTTTCAAGATCTTGCGATACAGTCCGAGCAATAAACGCGGAAGTTAGATCCAAACACCCGTTCGCATAGAAATGAACTGTTTAATCTGCCCATCATTTGTGTTGAGAGATCAGCAGTGTTTGGATCAACAAAGTGTGACTACTTTGATAGTGGAAACTGTATTTATGGCTTACTTTTGTGCATTTAAAGTTCAGCCGCCATTGATAGTTGTTAAAAGTTGTTAAACCTGTGCATGTGAAACAAAAAACGCCTTTTGTTTATCGATTTATTGTGAAAAACGGAAGTTGTGCTTGCTCCTTTTCCTGTTGGGTGGTTGTGATTTCTGTCCATTTACTGCAGAGGTGCTCCGGCGTCCGGCAAAAATAGGATCGATTCTATTTTTGCCGGACGCCGGAACAGAGGGCGGCGCACGGCGCCGCACTGCCGGAGCACGGCCGCAGTAGTGGAATTGCTCTGATTGACTACAACGGGACCGATTTTGCTCCGGCGTTCGTGTCGGAGCGGAGCGGAGCGGAGGTAGTGGAATTTGGGGGTTAAAGAGTGATCTGATGCATGCCATGACCACTGTAAATCAGAAAGCAAGGTGATGAAAGCATGCTGCATGCTTCACCTCTATGTTATTTTTTTATTTCGATGCTTCATTTGATCTTGCAAGATTTCCCGTCTGATCTGGGAATGTATGTGACGGTAGTCTTTGCTTTGCACATCCTAGGACCAAAACGTGATTTTTTATCACTACGTGTAGAGTCTCTCATGATAAAAAAAAAAAAAATATATATATATATATATATATATATATATATATATATACATACATCTGATTATTTAAAAATCCTGCCATGTGAAGCGGGTCTAAGATGGCACCAGGTTTTCTGTGCTAGAACTAACAGAATTACATCTGATCCGAACTATCGTAGGTCATTGCATCTTAACATATTTAGGTTTTGGTTCCACTTTCAGTATTTAAGCCACAGCTTTATTTGGGTAGTTTTGACTATTTATTAGCAATTGGATTAGGATCTATTTCCAGTTTAGTCTTGAAACCCTCTGAGTGACTTATGTGCCGGTGCACAATCGAGACATCTGGATCGATATTTCAGAGAGAACAGCAAGACAGCAGTTGGGCTGTTTGCTGTTAGACACATCTGGATCATTCACACTTACACAGAATACATTAAGCTACTTACCATAAATCCTCTAATATTAGCCTGCATTTAATTAACTGCCGGGTATCATATCTTGGCCGGTGTCGAAGTCGGCGGAGGTGAATAATGGCCGGTATTTTATTGTGGCCGGGTGGAATGTGGTAACAAGCAAGTACGGGCGTCGGTTGTGTCATCCATCTCACTTTTGATTTGCCAGTGAAAGACCGCGAGGGTAACTTTAACCGTGCGGAGACGAAGATGAGGCGAAAATTTGATATCAAGTTCAAAGAGAACGTGCTGATTATGCTGCAGAACACTCTGGGGAGCAGTAGCAGGGGTTGTATGAACTAGTCACTAGTGGACTTCACCGCTCTATAGTGACTTTTTATGCCTGTCATCGACTAGTCGCTGTCACGTGATAATGACCGGCAAGATGCAGTCCTCGGAAAAGACAGCAGCCTGCTGTCAGCAGGTGACAAGCTCCTGTGTGTCGGGAGGCAACGCGCTGTGCCAGAGCATCGGTACTGACACCCACCGTAAAACGGACATTTAAACAAATTGTGACGTTTACCCTCTTGCAATTTAACTTTCCCCTCACCCCCATCCTAACCTTAACCAGCATGCGCATGCAAAGCTCTGATTGTTGACGCGCTCCAGACATCTGCGTCCTGAGCACGGCCACAGTAACATTATCAAATCAGGTGTCGCCACCTCAAAAACTAATTTAACACGCGATCGTTCATGTCGGCTCATTTCCTTTAATGTTTTCTGTCTTTTATTTTTTATTTGTGCCTGATGCGTTTCGCTGCTGTGGATCGGGGCGCATCACCTGTTTTGTCCTCGGTGACGCACCTGAGCAGCGCGCGCTCCGCTGTTTTTGCGGTCGGTAGATCTTTTAGAACTGCAGTTCAAAGGTAACTCATAAGGTGAATATATATGAACCCAGGTAGCAGTTTTTCTTTAGGATTGAGAGGAGATGCAGGAAGATAATAAACAGGCAGGACAGAAAAATAGTCAAACAAAAACAAGTTAGTTTTGTACCTGGTGGTTGCAACAAACAGACACCATTGAAGGTAATCAGAAGTGAGGAACAGAAAATGAAATAATTATTTTAATGTTTAGAGCAGCAGAAACACTGATAGGCTGCAGGCGCACCAGTGAGTGTGCGGCCGCTGCGCAGGGGGAGGGGGGAGAGGGCTGAAGCAGAAACTACCGTTGTTAAAAGAAATGTGTTTAACTTTGAAAACTGTGGGAGCAATTTTAATTGTCAAAAACTCCAGCGAACCATTAGTTCATTTTGCTCAAATGAAGCCTTCCAATAAAGGCCTGGAGCTTGATGAGCTTGAGTAAAATACAGGCCCGGGCCTGCATTAGAGGATTTACTGTCACGATCTGCCCCTGCCTTCCTGACTGTGTTCCTCTCCTGCCTTGATTAC